TTCTGTCCCACTCTTGCTGTGTTTATTGTATATCTTTAGAGCACCTTTAGAACCAGATGTAACAAAAATCTAAAAATTAATATTAAATAAACATGTTAGCTATATGACCTTGGGTAGGTAACTTCTACACTCCAGGCCTGAGCTTCTTATTAAAGGTGTCAGCCACGTTAAACACACATATAGAACTAAACAATCCAAGACTGAGTTCACACTCTGCTACTGGAAGCTTCCATCCTCCCATCTCCATTAGTAAGTAACAAAATCTATTGGAACCAGCCCCTTCTTTGACCCTTTGCACTGAAAAACGGCTTCAGAGATATCCATCCACTTGCATGTCTCTGTTTCTAATGGTCTAGTTCCCACCTAACCTCAAGACAGGGTTACATTCAGCACCATGACAAAGAGTGCCAGGCTGACAGAGTGGGAGAGGGAGCCAATAGCACACTCAGTTGAAGAGAAGGTAAATCAGGAAGTCTGAGTTCTAGGGGTATTGAGTACTAAGACATCCCCTTTCCAAAATCTAGGAAAGCCTGGGACAGGAGGTCACATGAGCACATAAGAGCTGTGAAAGGTCCTTTGCTACAGAGACCAATGGATAGAAAGCTTGGCCTTTCCACCCTGAAATGTATCTACTCACATAAATTTACAGAGGGCCTACTGAGACCTGGCTGCCAAACCTCATCCTAGATCCTGATTACTAGAAAGAATAAGACATAGTTCCTGCTCTCAAAGAGCTTGGTCTTCCTAAAAAGACGGTGAGAACATTTAGCAAAATATCACAATTTGGGATATGTGTACTAAATTAGAGGTAGTTGGGCACCGTTTAAGGTACTAGAGATGCAGAGATGAATAAAACAGACAATCCTTACCTTGGTGGAGCTTACCTTGTCACTGACATACTAGGTATGAACCTTGTTCTTTGAGAGCATAAATAAGGAAACCATTCATTCCCTTTAGGAAAACTGAGAAAGACTTCACAGTGGAAGTAATTGAGTTGACCTGGGCTTTGAAAGATTCACAAAAGTTTGTCAGTGAAAACATATTGGAGGGTAATGCTAGGAAAGGAATTTCGGAGAAAATTTGGTGTGACTGAATGGCAGGGCATAAGGAAAGTAATAGGTGGCAAATAAGAATGGGAAGTGAGTGCAGAGAGGTAGATCCCAATTTAAGCCATGGTTGTACCACAGCACAAGTGGTAGGTTGGCTAAGTGGAGCCATATGTACTACAGTGTAGGAGAATTAAGATGTTTAGGCCTTAATTAATGTATCATGGTAGATACAATAGAGTAGTGGCTCCTGAAGTTTCCTGAACACTGGTTCCTTGAACTAACATCCCATGCTTTGATTACCATCTATTCACCAAGGCTTTCCAGCCCAGACTGGATTCCAGATCTTTACATCCAACAGCCCTACTTGACAGCTAGCTCTACATGGTTATTTCAAATTGCATAAAACTCAGCCTGACAAAACTGAACTGAACCCATATTCTTCCTGCCAAACCTGCTCACCCTCTACCCTCTGGTGCTTTTTGCCAGTGTACAGCACCACATCTATCCAAGTGCATAAGCCAAAAATCATCCTTGACACCTGTCCAACTCATATCTCAGAGAAAACATCACCAAATCCCATTGACATTCCTTACTAAATCTCTCCCAAATTCATCTACTTCTCATTGCCACCTCTACCACCTTAGTCAAAGCTACCCTCTTCTCTAACCTGGACAAATGCAAAAATAATGTGGTCTTTACATCACATGCTTGCCCCCTACAATGCATATTCCAGCGTGACCTTTTTAAATGAAAATGTGTTCATGTCACTCCCGACATAGGACCATCATTGATTTCTCATTCCTTATGACAACTCCTAATCATGGTCTACTTGAATGAGCTTTCTCCCTGCCCAAATATGCAGCTTCATCTTATGTCACTTTCCCTGTGGTCTGCTATCCTACTACAGTGGCCTTCTTTCAGTTCCTGGAATATGCTACATTCCAGGCTTTCGCACATGCCATTTTCTCCACTCCTCTTCCTATATAGCTTCCATTCACACTTAGATCACAGCTAAAACATCACATCTCTAAGTAGCATTCTCTTCTTCCTGCAGACTAGTTCAGATTCCCTGCTAATAAGCCCCACTCTTCAGGGCACTTATACCAACTCATTGTATAACTTGACATTTCATGTCTTTCTACCACTAGAACATAAACTTTATTAGAACAAATACTGTGTTTGCTTTTTCACCATTGTTTTCTCCAAGTCCCAGAATGCCTTATGCCTTGTAGATTGCTCTGTAAGAACAGGAAAAGCTGCATTCTCTATTACCATTTTGGAGAGACACAATGCATATTTACAGATTAAAAACAAAAAAGAGCAAGTATTTAACTTTGTTTGACCCATCATTTTTCAAACTACCTTACCTGTGGATCTTTCTACTATATAAGCATTGGCATTTTGTTGGATACTTATGTTCCGGAAAACACTGTGAGACAAATATATACATATATATATATTTGCCTGAACTGCTTCCTCTCCATCCTAAACAGTGTATCTCTGAAGCCATGGTTTTATAACCTCATCCCTCCCTAAACACCTGAGAGTTATGGGCTTGTGAGATGGTGCAGCCACAAGGGCCTGAGGACATCATGCTGGGAAGTCGTTATGGGCCTTGTACCAGCAGAGAAGCTCCTCTGCAGAGAAAGAATGAAGCAACCATGGGATGAGATGCTTTAGGCGAGGATCCCACACTCAGATGGGATCAGGCAGGATAACAGGAGTGAGGTGAATTGACGGGGCATTTCCTGTCTCGAGATACTCAAATTCAGAATTCTTTCAACTGATGGTTCTTAAAGTATGATGCCCCAGTATCACCTAGGAACTTGTGAGAAAGGCAACTTCCCAGGGTCTACCCCCACGACATATTACAAACTCTGGGGTGAGGCTCAGCATTCAGTGTTTTAACAAGCCCTTTAGGTAACTCTGATGCTCATATACATTTTATACTGCTGGCCAAATTATAAAAATCTCACCCACAGGCTGGTGACCTCTGTTGAAAGTGAGATGAAACAGAAAGTAGCAGTCTTGACTTTTCATAAGTCATGAAGACTTTCTAGGCCCTGGTTCCTTCCACTCCCTCACAATTCCTAGTTTTATTCAAATCCTGGAGCTATTCCTGCAAAGTTTCAATAAATTCCCTCTTTTGCTTAAGCTGGTTTGGTGAGGCTTTGTTGCTTATCCAAACAGACTATTTCACTATATCAATTTAAAAAACAACAGCAAAACAAAACAAAACCTGGATTCAAGGCCTGGTTCTACCAGAAATAAGCTGTGACAAGTCCTGTCTCTCCGGGCCACAATGCCATCACCTATGAATGATGGGTTTGGACTGGATGACAGCTGAGTGCCCTTGCCTTCTAATATACTAGACCAGATATTGATTCCTCTGGGTAATCTCTTGATCCTACAGATCCCTTAAGAAAGATTCTATTTCTTTAGTTCTATCTATTGACTCCAGGTAGTTAAAGTAACAAAAATAGAAATAAAAACACCCCAATTCTTTAGGTTTCTCTTTCCATGTCTTTCAAAAGCATCATCTACTGATGAGAGAAATGCTTTAAATAAGGCTTATTTCTTGTTCCAATTCTTTTTCAACTTAAAATTAAATTCTAGCATAATTAGGTTAACTTAAGGTTGCTTTCTGTAATGAAACATATATTGAAAAACATGTACATAAGACCAAATTATACTTGCATAAAAATATAGCAATTTTTGGCAATATGCCTCGTCACAAAAATGTAACTCATCCAAACAATATTACATCAAATGGCAAAATATTTTAAACAAGTATAAGGTTTCAAGAAAAATATCACAAAATCAATACTACCTGAAATAAATAGTAGGCATCTCCTCTATTAAGCCCTTAAACCCAGCATTATATAACTTCTTAGTTGATACAGAATAAAAACTAGTATTGTTTTGACCCTTAAATTCTCACTCCAGCAGACTTTTCTTAGATGCTGAAACAAAAATAGTGACCAAATGCTTTGATGGACAACTCATTACAATGAGAACTGAAGGCTTCCGAAACCAGACAAAGATTTTTTCTCTATCTCCCAGATGCTGGGAAAGTAAGGGAAATATTTCAGTTTCCCACCCAAGAATGCACTCTATATCTGCACTCTAAAAAAAAATAAGTGCTTTAGAAATGACTGAGCTCAAGGTACAGTTTTTGAAAAGCAGAAAATGTCCCAAGGCAGGGTGAAGAAAAAAAAAATTACTGAGAGAAAATAAAAAGAAACAAGGGGGAAGAAATCTTTCAACAGAGTAGAAACTGTTAGTCTCTCTCTGTGTTCCTGAAAGGTTTTGATCCAACCCTATTTGTTATCCTAGAAAAGCTCTTCTGAAGAAAGGTCTCAGTGTAAGAACTGCTTGAAAGAAGCCAACCCCTTGGAAATAGGAATGGCTCAGCTATTTATTAATGTCAAATATGCTGCCTGCATGAATTAGTCAGCTTGTCTTTTGGAAGCCATACAGAAAAGTTCTCGTGCACCTGCCTCTTAGCTCCCTGACACTTCTGACTTTAATGACAGCAGTAACAACCACCAGAAAATAAAATTTAAAAAACAAAATGCTGAATATAACTACATTCTATCTTCTAAATAGTTGATTCATCAATTTTTAAAGGCTTCTCACTGAAGTATCGTCAGTGACTGCAGTATATAAAAGCTTGCTCAGATGTAAAAGCAAAAGCAAAACAGAGTCATTCTCCTAAACTGGCAAAATGTAACCAAATTACCACAAAACTGACCTGAGCAACAAAGAGAAATGGAGCAGAAAAAGGCCAGATTTCTTACTGGCAGTACCACAGTGGCAAATATCCCAGAACAGAGAAAAGCTGCCAAATAGAAGAGAGAAAATTAAAGGACTTTCCAAAAGCAGCCAAGCCCAGTGTATACAGCATTCCCAACAGCTGGAGTGAGCTTCAGAAGCAACACACAGGTATAAGGTCCAGCCTTACTCTTTATTTATAGCACAGTTCAAAGTCATTAAATCAAGTACAAAAGAAATGGCTTCCATTTCCTGGATTGGCATCGGACATCCTTCCTACCAGCTGCAATTACATCATTTTTATCTATTTTCTGCTTTTCTTTTTTTGTGGGGGAGGGATGGGGAGTGACAAATGAACCAAAGAGACTTTAACCTCAAAACCAAGAGAAAGCCCTGCTTGCAGAGAAACAAAAGAAGTGACTCTCCCTCTTGTGAAAGGCAGTCAGGAACTCTGCTCCAGTTATGAGGGCCACTGATGGTGTAGGAAAGCTGTCACAAAGAGATTCTTCCTGGAGGTGGCGTGAAGATGGCGAGGACCCGGGATGTGGGATGTCTGCCGTCACCACCATCACCCTCTCTTCTATCTCAACCTTCACCCCACCAAATCTAATGACAAACAAGGAAAAGTAATTACATGTAGAAAACCAAAGTGAATGGGAACATGGGTAGAATGAACATAAAAGAAGAAACTGAAAATGATCAAAATTGCTCAGTGCTTCTTTCTCTGATTGGCATAGAAATCTCTGATCCACTGCTTCATGTGTCTAACTTCCAAGGAGCGGGCTAATAGCACAGTCGTGGGATCAAAGGCATTTCTGGCTCGGAGATCTAGATGATGGGCCCCTTCTGGGATGGTGATTGCAACCAAGGTGTCTGTGATATCCTTGGTTACTCCACCTCCTGACCAGGGGTCTAGTTCACCATTGCTAAGTGAGGGAAAGAAGAAAAAATAAGATGGTTAGTTTTTCATAACTACGCCCAGATAAGATAGGAGAAACCTATTATATGCATAACATCTAAAATTACAAGTTCATAACCTGAGGTATTTGATATGAGGATCTAATCTGTCATATAAAAAGCTGCTTCATGCTGGAGTTCTATAACATTTCTGCAATCAGGTGCAAGAAACAGAATCAGAGAAGGCTGAAGGTGGTGCTCCATGAATCAACCCAGATTACACTAGGACTTGGAATTCAGAAGGCTGAATTTCAATCCCAGCTTCATCACTCAAAAGCTAGATGACACACAAGCTACCCGACTCCGTTTCCTCATCTGTAAAATAGAGATAATAAGGCCGACCTCCTAAGGTTGTTATAAAGGTTAAACCAGACAGTAGATATGGATGTACTGAATAAGCACAAGTGTCAGGCACAGAGGAGTCCTTCAATTAATACCAGTTTCCTTCTTTTCTAGGACCCAACTACCAGAATGATTAAAACAAAATAAAACAAAAAAACTTCCCATATTTAAAAATGCTACTTATCTCAGCTTTAAAAAAAAAAAAAACTGCTTTTTAAGATTTATTTATTTATTTGATTTATTGGATTTGGATTTATTTATTTGAGAGGTAGAGAGAGCAGGAGGGAGAGTGAGCAGAAGAGAGGAGCAGAGGAAGAGGGAGAAGCAGGGTCTACACTGAGCAAGGAACCCAACATGGGGCTCAGTCCCAGGACCTGGGGATCATGACCTGAGCCAAGAGGCAGACGCTTAACCAACTGAGCCACCCAGACACCCTTTTTCTTTTTAAATAATACTTCCCTCTTAGTACAGTACTTTGGGAAATAGGATGGTAGAACTGAAAAAATTCCCCTGGATCTGGAATCAGAAACTTTGGGCATTACTCAAAGATCTTCATTTTATATTAGCTTGTTTTTAAATTGAGTTATCAATTAAAATCATTTGATCTATTTTGAGTTAATTTTTTTGTATGGTTATGAAATAGGGATCCAACTTCTTTCTTTGGCTTGTGAATATCCTTTTAACCAGCATCATTTCTAGTAAAAAAAAAAAAACTATTCTTTCCCCAATAAATTGTCTTGGCCCTTGTCAAAAATCAGTTAACCATACACATAACAAGGGTTGATTTCCGGACTATCAATTCTCTTTGAAAGATCTGTATGTCTTTCTTTATGACTGTATAATAATGTATTGATTATGGTAGCTTTATAATAAGTTTGAAACAAGGAAGTATGAGTACTTCAAATTTGTTCTTCCTTTTTAAGATTGTTTTGGCTATTCTGGGTCCCCTATATTTTTATATTAATTTTAAGATCATTCTGTCAATTTATGTGAAAAAACCAACTGAGATTTTGATAGAGATTGGACTGAATTTGTAGATCAATTTGTGGATATTAACACCTTACCAATATTACCTCTTCCACAAGAACATGAGATGCCTTTCCATTTATTTAGATCTTTAATTTCTTCCAACAGTGTTTTGTAGTTTTCAGTGTATAAGTCTTATACTTCTTTTGTTAAACTTATTCCTAAGTATTTTATTCCTGATGCTATTGTAAATCAAATTGCTCCCTAGCATTATTAACTCCACACCTGCATAGAGTGGTTTAGAGTTTACAAAGTCTTTCACATTTGACTATTATAACAACTCTGTGAGGTTTAATTACAACTCTTTTATAGATGAGAAAACTAGTGTCCAGAGAAATGAAAAGACTTGTTCAAATCATTCAGCTAGAAATGGCAAATCTGAGATACAAACTCAGGTCTTGTAACCCTAGTCTGATGCTCACTCTTATACTACATTGCATTTCATGGATACAGGTAGGAAATGAACAGCACATATCCTCTTGACTTGTGTGGTGCAGAGTTAAGAAGAGCATGAGCTTTGGGATTAGACACACGTGGGTTCCATTTCTAGGTCTGCTTCTCTGCTTCCTAATCTCATGGAAGTTTAGATTCCTCAAAATAAAATAAAGACTGAAATTCCTGGATTTAAGATCACTTTTCCCTGGTACTGCACTTCTTGGTATATCTTTATCTACATATCACTTGATTTCACTTACAGAACATTTTTATGTACATTCTGACATTTGTCTCATGTACATCCCATTTTGCTGATACAAAGCCTGAAATAACAAATCTTTAGGGTCACATTATCAGATATATGAAATGGTTCCCATAATCTACCTAATCATTTTTTTTTCATTTTTAAAAGTCTCATCTTTAAGTACAATCTATACATAGATGACTATCAAATAATATCTTTAGCGAGGACCCTTCCCCTAAACTTCAAAAGCAAAATTCAACTGCCTACTTGACATTTTTACATGGAAATCTAATTAGACATCTCAAACTTACCAGGTCCAAAACAGAGCTCTTAATACTCCCAACTCCCAACCAGCCCTCTATCTTCCCAATCTTTGTTAAAAGCAACCCTATCCTTCTAGTTGGTTAGGCCAAAAAGTTTGACGTCACTCTTTAACCTTCTCTTTCTTTCATGCCCAGTGGGTCAACAATTCCTGTCAGTTTTATCTTCAAAAATATATCTAAAATTTCAACACTTCTCACCGCCCCCACTGCCACCACTCTGACACAAATCACCATTATCTCTAGCCTAAATAGTGTTTTAAATGATCCTCCAGCTTTTATTCTTAATCTCCCTGCTTAGAGCAGCCAATTTGATCTGGTTAAAACCTGAATCAGATTATGTCACTTCGCTGCTCAAAACAGTGAGTTTTCCCATTTCACTCAGACTAAAAACCAAAATCTTTACTAGGATCTACAAGTCTCTACATGATCTGGGCCCTCTGTGGCCTCTGATTTTCTCTCCTGCTACTCTCTCCCTCATTAGTTCCACTCCAGCCACACTGACCTCCTTACTATACCTGGAAGAGAACATGATAAGACATTTACCTCTCAAGGCCTTTGCCCTTGCTTACTCCTTGGTTTGGAGTGTTCTTACCCCACCAACCCCAATTTCCACTAGTTCATTTTTCAAAAGTTCCCCCTTGGTGAGGTCTTCCTTGGTAACTCTCATCTAAAATTGCAAACCTTGTGGCACCTGGCTGGCTCAGCTGGAAAAGCATGTGACTCTTGATCTCAGAGCCATGGGTTCGAGCCCCACATTCACTGTAGAGATTACTTAAGTAAATAAAAGAAATAAAATAAAATAAAATTGCAAACCTTTTCCCTCCTTCAGACGTTTCATAGCCTCTCCCCTGGTTTATTTTTCCTCCTTAGCACTTAGCTCCTTCTAACGTATTTATAGGTACAATCTTTACCTATCTCTCCAACTAGAACTCCAGGAGGGCAGGGATTTTGTCTCTTTTGTTTATTACTATATCCTCAGTGCCTAGAACCAGGCCTGGCACATGGTAGGAGCCAAATATTTATTGAATGAATAAAAAAAAAAGTGTCTAGGAGTCTGTGTCTAGTTGTCTGCGGCCTTGCACTAAATGCCCTACAAAGATACCTATAAATGTATGTATGCAAGTTCAGGAACATGAAATCACTTCAGTACTTTTTACATGGGAAACCAGGGTAAATATAAGTGATTAATATAAATATAGAGAGACTGACCTTCACCTGTGTGTAGTAGTGGCAAGAACAATTAACTAAGAAGATCTAAGTTTTATATCCTTACCAGCCCATGACCATGGGTAAGTCATCTAACCTCTGTGAACCTTAATTCCTACATGTATTACAAAAAAATACATTTTATTTTTTTAAAGATTTTTTTTTTATTTTAGAAAGAGAGAGAGGGAGAGAGGAAGAGAGAAAGCAGCAGGGAAGGGCAGAGGGAGAGAGAGAATCTCCAGCTGACTCCCCCCTCAGCCCAGAGCCTGTGATGGGGCTCAATCCCTTGACCCAGGAGATCATGACCCGAGTCGAAACCAAGAGTCAGATGCTTAACCAGCTGAGCCACCCAGGCACCCCCTAAAAAAATTTTTTTAAAGAAAAGATAATGTCCCTCCCTCACAGAAATACTGTGAGGATCAAGTTAAATAATAATGTGACAGTAAGGTATAAACTATAAAATAATATACATACAGTATTATTATAATTATTATTATCATATTCTGTAAGCATGAAAAGTTAATACTTCTGAGAAGTAAATGAATCATGAAAAAGGATGTGAAAGCATGTCTCACAGAAATCTGGCCAGAAAAGTAATGTGATCAACTTTTTGCAGGTAAATGTACAAAGAAAATGAGAAAATAAGCAAGTAGGTACACTGTGTGTGTGTGTATTTGAAATACAATTTTAAGCTCCCTGTTCTAGGGGCGACTGGGTGGTTCAGTCAGGTTAGTGTCCGACTCTTGGTTTCAGCTCAGGTCATGATCTCATGGGTCATGGAATCAAGCCCACCATGGGCTCCATGCTCAGAAGGAAGTATGCTTGAAGATTCTCTCCCTCTGCCCCTCCCCCAACTCATAGGCTCACTCTCTCTCTCTCAAATAAATAAATCTTAAAAAAAAAAAGTGTCTGTTCTATTCTCACCACACCTCTCTTTAGAAACAAAATTAATTCAATTGCAACTTAATAACATCATTCTCGGGAGAAAAAAAAATCACTCCAAAAATGTAGATTTCTGATTTTGTTAAAAATAAAAAGGATAACTCACATGCAAAACAGCAGCCTTAGTTTTCAACTACCAGATAAATTCTTAAAATAAACTACACAAGGGGTTAGATTCTCTTAAGTGAACAAATAGCCTTTATCATTATTCCAATTTGACAGGACCAACCCAGATAGGAAACTCTCCATTATTTGCAAACAAAAAAGCCATCCCAACAGCCACATAATAAGCAAACTGCATTTGATTTAAAAGGTCATCTGAATCAGCCCAGTGACTTAGCAACAGTGTTTGGAGTTGCCGAGAGACCTAAGATGCACATGGACTTGAATTTCTTGGTCCTAGACACGTGAAAGCTAAACCAGCCACTGGGACATTTACCAAAAAAAAAAAAAAAAAAAATACTGGCTTTCATGAGAGAGTCTAGATGCCTGGATAAAATTCCCAACAGCAAGCTTCTAATCACTGGCAACAATTAATTTGCCTGAGAAATGATATTAAACTAACCAGCTCCTCAGGGACTCCCTTTTGAATTTATATTTAAACAACTGAGCATAACCAGTTGGGGTTAGGGGAAAAATGAATCCTTCTAACAAAACAACTGTGGAATAAAAAAAATTACTGAAATGGAACAATTAATGGCTACTATTTATTAAGTCCTCATTCATTCAACAAATGTTTACCGAGTATGTATGATGCATTCAACAGTGAGCAGACAAAATCTCTGCCCTCATGGTGCTTACTTCCATGATAATCTATTTACTCATTAAAGTAATCCTGTTTCGTAGTCATTTTTACTAACTTAAACAAATTGGCAATTTGCCCAAGGCTATACAGCTAACTTGGTCTCCTTGACTTCAAAGCCCAAGCTTTTAATTTAACTGACAAACCTCCTATCTGATAAATACAGACTGAAATTTCCATTCAGAAAAGCGGTCACAACTGGATTTGTGTGAGATGACCTAAGGAGAGAGGCATGGACGTAAAGATACTTTCCACCTGGTTCCTTGGACATTTTCTTACTCATCAACCGAAACCTTTTTCTAGCTGGTAGCCACTAAGTAGACAGAACAGAGACACCTAAGGCTGTTTCTTTACTTTGGGAATGTGTTTTCTTCAGAAAAGCAGGAAAATTTTGAATTTTTTAATAACTTTAAAATTTTTACATTGGATTTCTCACACCTAGCAGCATAAAGATTTCTTTTTTAAAAATAGCCTTGCCACTTTAAAAAGATAAACAGTATCTTCACATAGTCCTGCCTTTAAACTTTCATATGCCTCTGAAGCCTTTCTAAGCTTTGTATTTCGTTCCTTGTTTTTATCAACACACACATTTCTTGGGCATTCAATATGTGTCAGTCACCGAGTAAGTGTTAAAGGCACAGCTATGATTAAGACAAAGTCTCTGTCATTGAGAAAGTTTACAATCTCATGGGGCAGAAAGAAACACAAATAGATAATTTCCATACAGAGTGCTAAGTGATATTCACAGGCCTAGGGGAGCTAAGGACTGGGGGAAATCTAACCTTCCTGGAGGACTCAGGGAAGGTTTCTTGGATGCCTGAGTCTTACGAAAGGGAGAAAAAGAGGAAGGGAAAGGACATGCAAAGACAAATAGTTCCCTGTAGCTAGGACATAAGTACAAGGCAGAGAGTGTATTTCCATTTATTCATTCAACAAATATTTTTTGAGCATATGTATTTGTCAGATCTGGGCCAAATACTTCCTTGGGTTAACTCCTTTTTTTGTTGTTGTTTTTAAGATTTTTATTTATTTATTTATTTGACAGAGAGAGACAGCGAGAAAGGGAACACAAGCCGGGGGAGCGGGAGAGGGAGAATCAGGCTTCCCGCCGAGCAGGGAGCCAGATGTGGGGCTGGATCCCAGGACTCTGGGATCATGACCTGAGCCAAAAGCAGACGCTTAACGACTGAGCCACCCAGGCGCCCCTCCTTGGGTTAACTCTTAAGCATCACACAACACTGTGCGGTGAGTGGTATTATTATTAGCATTTTATAGAAAAAAAGAGTGAGGATCCAAGAGCTTAAGTAATTTTATTTAAAACAGCTCATTCGACCTTTGCACAGTTCTGTTAGAAAGTCCCACCTTAATACACTGTTAAAAGTTTCTAACAGTTATAATTTCCATTTCTTGGCTTCAGTTCTATTCTCCAAACTTTTCTCACAAAATCTGCCCCCTTTCCTCAATGATGATGATGATTTTGATGGCCTAAGCAAAATAATATAAAAGGGCAAACAGATAACTAAAATACGCATCTATAATGGTTGAATCCAATAAAAAAGGATTTAACCAAAACTCATATATTAAAATATTAAAATCTTCATACAAGGATTTAAAGACTCTACAATTCAACTTGAACTTCAGCTTTATAAGGTCAAAGCAAGCAAGGATGAGCTTAAAGTACCAGCGTGCTACTGAAATCCATTTAAATACTATATGGAGATAAATTACCAAAGAAAAACAAGAAATTGATAAAGTACTTCCTCTTTTGTGGAACAAAAATGAACCTGGACACCCAAAGCTGTGTTTAAGCCTTTTATAGTCCTCTAAGTCCCTTCATGCTTTCCTGATTTCACACACCCTACTTTGGCACAGTTTCCTTAAATAATCTATACTTACATAGATTTATTTGCTCAACCATCACTTTATAAGGTTGAGCTGAAGAGTACAGTTTTGAAGAATCCTACTGAGAACAAGAAACACAACTTAAAGAAATTAAATGAAAGAATCTTTAAGTTTCCCATTTAAAGGGCGCCTGGGTGGCTCAGTCGTTAAGCGTCTGCCTTCGGCTCAGGTCATGATTCCAGAGTCCTGGGATCGAGCCCCGCATCGGGCTCCCTGCACAGCGGGAAGCCTGCTTCTCCCTCTCCCACTCCCCCTGCTTGTGTTCCCTCTCTCGCTGTCTCTCTCTCTCTTTCTCTCTGTCGAAATAAATAAATAAATACATAAATCTTTAAAAAAAAAAAGTTTCCCATTTAAATGTTTCACCTTTTATTTGGGGCAGGTACCCTTTTGGGTGAGCAAACAGCATGAATCTAACAAGACAGAGGCTCTTTTGCAAAGTGGGCAGTGCCACTAGCCTAAATCCAGAGAATGATCCTTCAGCTATTGGCCATATCCAGAAGGCCAAATTTGACTCTCATTTTATAAAGAGCTTGTAAAAGAATGACATTTACAGTTTAAATAATGGCTCCAGGCTAAGAAGTATATATGCTATCTCTCTACTATTTCCATGTAGATTTGGGGAAATTTTTTGAGTAATTTGTTGTTATCTTAAGAGCTGACAGCCTAGTGTTCAAACCAAAATATGGAAATTTTAAAGTCACAATCAGATACACATGAGTCTACTCAATTAAGTCTGACATGAGCCAATACCAAATACATCCCTTCTAAAGAAGCAGTGTAACACAGAAGAACAAACACAGGTTTTGTAGTCAGACAGGCCAAGGTTGAAATCTGGCTTTATCACTTAGTAACTACAACAAAGCTAGATGAGGTCTGGCAAGTGGCTGAACACAGTGACCTTCACTTTCCTCCTCAGTAAAAAGGGGACTATAACAACTACTTCACAGGACTGTCATGAGGATTCAATTAGGCAATTTATTTAAAGTGCCTCACATAGTGCCTGAAACAGAACAGAGTAGGCACCTCAAAAGTATCTGTTGAATAAATATTAAAAAACCTTTATTAATAACAATAGTAACAACAGCAACACAAACTGAAAGCAGATGATGCTTCATTTTGTGCTAGCGTTTTTTAATAAAATATTTAAATTTTGTTGCTGTTATTCTTTTTAAGCCTTTAAGCACATTGGTAATAGAGTATAAAATTGTATCTCTTATGCAGAGTCCTCTGTCTTTCAAGGAAAGACATGATGGATACCACTATTGCATTCTATATTGTTTATTATCAGCATTTTTCTTATTCTATCTTCTCAGCTATTCTACAAATGTCTCCATCAACCAAAGATTTTCTTTGCATCAGTAAAAACTCACCTAAAAATGATGTTCGTGTGTGAACTGATGTTTTTGCCCCCATACATAGTAATGATCCAGGCAGGCCTCGGTCTTACACCCCACTGTTTAAAACAGTCCTCAGAAAATTCCCTCAAGTTCCATGAGTGAGGTTCAAACATGTCATTAATACCATTAGTACAAAAAGGCATGACCATTTCTGTGCAGGCCTAAAAAAGGAAACCAAAAGGGGATCCAGTAAGAAAATGAGGCACAGGGTGAAATAAATTATCCAAAGTCATACAGCTAGTAGTAGCAAAGCTAGGGTTTGAACTCAGGCAGTCTGACTCTAGAGCACCTGCTCTTTACCTCTGTCATACCGCCTCTCATTATTCCTGGAAAGGCTCAGCTGAGAAGTTACACAAGTTAGGGCTATATATTCTTCCTTTGTAAACTGCTTTCTTTCACAACTATTACCATAAATAATCATCAAAACAACTCTGGAGGGAAAATATTATTACTAGTCTCATACAGATGAAGGAATGGAGGTTCAGGGAGAGTCAAGTTAGACTGCCCTTCTTTTCTGTATCCATAAAATGCTTCCTTTATAGGACTTACCAAGATCTACTGTAATATAAGTATCTTTTTCACTCAGCTATATTTGAAAGAGAGATCATGTCCTATTTATCTTCGTATCTTTGCAGCCTAGAATGTTGTCTGACATGCAGTAAGTACCCAGAATATGTTTGGTGATGATTAAATACAGGAAGGGAGGAAGGAAGGAAGGAAGGAAGGAAGGAAGGAAGGAAGGAAGGAACGAACTAACTTATCTATGGTCTCACAGTGTAAGATAATGGAGCCCAGATTTGGATCCAGGTTAGTGACAAAATCTTGTGAACTCTGTTACAGTACAACCATATCAGTGAAAAGTAAGTTCCACTTGAGGAAATAATACACGCTTACCTGATAGCTCCAACCCTGGGTTCCCAGACTGCTAGTTGTTGTCTCTGATATATTCAAGCAGTTCGCCTGGCCTGAATAATTGTAATAGACATTCAGAGCTTGGAAAATATTCTGCAGAAGCTGTGCATCAGATACACTGGGATTTTTCAAATATTGGCACACTACCTGTCATTTTAAAGAGATGTAAAGGAAGAAGAGTCAGAATATATTTATAAAATCATAGTTTTTAGTGAAAAAAAGAATATGGTTTTGATTTGCCTATAAAACAATCTTAAACATCTAACAGCACTGCTTGACAATTTTTATCTCTTGAGTATAATCCTGTTCATAAATGAATAAACCATTACTCTGCAAGTATAAAATTTAAATAACTCTCTTAGCTATAGAAATAAACCAAAGTCATTTGCATGGTATGCAAAGTCCTCCACATCTACCACTGTAGCCTCATCCTTTGTTCCAGTCTAGCAAAACCATACCCACCACACCAGGCTCTTTTTCTCCTCTTTGCCTTTACTCACCCTGAAATACCTTTTTCCCCACTCTCCCACTCCACTAATGTCTGGCAAACACTAATTCATTTTATATTATATTTAGCTCAAGTATCACCTCCTCTATAAGGCCATCATTAGCTATGCCCTCAAGTTGGGAAGAACTAAATCACTCCCTTTGTGCTTCTACTTATGCCATGTACTTGTTTCTAGCAGAGCCCCTATAACACGGCACTGTACTCATTTGATTCCAGAACATCTCACTCAGCACTTAGCAAAGTATCTGACAACTAAATACATTTTTATGAAACTGCAAAATTTATAAAATTTCTCATGGAAAAACGATACCAAGCTCCAGTGTCTGTGGTGTGATAAGAAGCATACCAGGCAGCAACCCAGCTTCTAAATATTCCTATCACTAGACTATAATCAGCACCTGAAATTCTAGTATTAAAAATTATAGACAATACTCGGGGTCAGGAGTGAAGGCATGAGTGACTAGACAGGGGCACAGGGAACTTTCAGGGGTAGGGAAATATTCCATATCCTCATAGACAACAAACGGTTATACAACATACAACAAACAGTTCACTTGCAATTTGTGCAATTCACTGCATATAAATTTTATCTAAAAAAAATCATAAACAAATACTGAACTCTAGATAATGATGATAAAGGTGAAGTGTTCAAGAGAAGTGTACTGATATCTGCAACTTACTTTGAAATGCATTTAAAAAATAAAATGGAATGAAGGATAGAAGCATGGCTAGGCAAATATATATGTGCTAAATCAAATATAGCGAAATACTTTTCTAGAATTTAGGTGGTATTTTTAATGGATGTTCACTATCCAGTTATTTTGATGTTTCTATATTTGAAATTTTTCACAATAAAATGTTGGGGGAAAATCACAGGCAATGAAATCACAGTGGAAAAACAACAATAGCTACTAATTACTGAGTTCTGGGTTTACAACCATTATATCATACAGTTCTCAAACAATCGTATCAGATATATTATCGTCCACTATTTTACATAGAGAAACTGAATCTTAAGTTAAACCACTTTATTCGAGGTCCCTCAGCTAGTATATGTTAAGATCTAGATACAACCCCAGATTTCTCTAGTTATGAAATGCACATCTTATTCATTATGCTGCACGGCCTAGAAAGTATCCCTTGTAAAACTGCAAATAGCCACAATGGCACGGAAACCACATTCATTAAGCTTGCATCCTCTACTAACACCTTGACATGAAGTCAGTGATTGGTCCTTTCTCATTTCATATGGAAAAAATGTATACAGTAGGCAAGTTCTGATTAAGAGAGAGAGAGAGAGAGAGAGACGTCCAGAGAAGAAAAAGCCAAGAAAGAAAGAGTCTAGTTACTCTACTTCAGGGAGAGACTCTGGGCAGCAGAAGCCACAAGGCCTGGGCTGGGGACGTGTTCCCACTCAGGAAAGGAGGACACTGAGAAAGGAAGTGAACAGCAGAAAGCAAACCCAGCCTCTCATCTCAGTTTTGCTTAGGACCAGTTTCCAACACCTTTCTTTTTTTTTTTTTTTTTAAAGATTTTATTTATTTATTTGACAGAGAGAGAGACAGCGAGAGAGGGAACACAAGCAGGAGGAGTGGAAGAGGGAGAAGCAGGCCTCCCGCGGAGCAAGGAGATTGACGCGGGGCTCGATCCCAGGACTCTGGGATCATGACCTGAGCCGAAGGTAGACGCTTAACGACTGAGCCACCCAGGCGCCCCTCCAGCAACACCTTTCTGATAAAAAAGGGAAACGTGAAAAGACAGAAGAAATGAATCAGGGAAAATTCAGTGTATCTCCGCAAATGCATTCAGCACAAAAATATTTTTGTAAAATGTTAAATGGTACTTTGTGAAAAAAAGTTTTCATAATCAAATAATTTTTAAGAAATATTATATTGGCAAATGTGAACAGTTTACTTGACTGCAAGCTTCCTCAGGGCCTTTAACATGCTCAATTGTAATGTGGCTTTCCAAAAGGAAGATAGAGCATGCACTATTCCCAGTAAGTTTTGGAAATAACAAGTGAAAGAAAAGTCAGAAATTAAGATGTCCAAATAACTTGGATATACCTTAAAAAAGTAACAGCAATTAAGGAGGGCATGTGTTGTGATGAGCACTGGGTGTTATACACAACTAATGAATCACTGAACACTACATCAAAAACTAATGATGGACTATATGTTGGCTAACATAAAAAAATTAAAAAATAAAAAATAAATTTAAAAAAGTAACAGTGAGGTCATAAGAATAAGATACACCTGAAAAGGTGTACATAAAGAAACAGAATTGAGCAAACCTATCAAGCCTAAAGGAATAAGAAAATGCAAGCTGAAGAAAAAAGGCAAAACAGTGTTTTACTATTCTGACAACTTTCAATTATTCATGGTAGGTCAAAAAATACCTAACATTTGCATACCACTTTTCTTTTTTTTTTTTTTTTAAGATTTTACTTATTTATTTGACAGAGAGAGAGATAGCGAGAGCAAGAACACAAGCAGGGGGAGTAAGAGGGAGAAAGAAGCTTCCCGCAGAGCAGAGAGCCGGATGTGGGGCTCGATCCCAGGACACTGGGATCATGACCTGAGTGGAAGGCAGATGCTTAACGACTGAGCCACCCAGGCGCCCCTGCATAGCACTTTTCTCAGAACGTGCTCCTAAGAAATATGCCAATCAGAAACAAGAAAATATGGAAATCAAGAACCAATCACAGAATTTGTTAAACTAATTATTGCCAACAGTTAATCAGCATTCCATCTTGACTGTGGACAATAACAGTGGACTCAGCTCTTTCCAAATGCAGCATAAAACTATGGAATGGACGCATGAGATGCATAGAAGAGCATTAAGTTCAAGCATAGCTCGACAGATGAGGCAGGATGACAATGTAAGCTGGGCAGGAGGAAAAGGGAGTACTGATGAGCAACAATAAACAAGTAGCCTAAAACTCTGGAAAAGAAGAGTAGCAAGTTAAGTGTGACTCACATGCTGGCATCAGATCCCCTCTCAGGGCTAGAACACTGGCCCTCTGTCAGGCAAAGAAAAGGAGTCCCCATGAATAGCCATCTCTGTAAACAGCAGTTACTGTCATTCCTTAAAAGACACAAGCATGGCTGGGGACCGGCACCAGCTGACAATACTTGGATTTCGGCAGCCCCAGTTACACAGAGAGAACATCGTGGTCAGAAACTTGGCGTCTAATAGAAATTCCATGTCCAGATTAAGGCCACTCCTGGGTCCACTGTCCTCTGTGAGGTCAGGGCTCCTCTGGAGTACTGGGTCCAGTTCTGAGCACCACACTTTAAGAAGGATAATGACCAACAGAGAAATCAGGATGGGGAGTTGAGGAAAAGTTGAAGCAATCCTACAATTGCTCATTTGTATAATTTCCAATCTTTCATACTACAAAAGCTAAAATAAATAACCCTGGGGCTAAATCTTTACATATATCCTTAATTGTTTTCTTGAGATAATTAATTCAAAGGAAAAAACATTTTTTTTAAAGATTTTATTTATTTATTTGAGAGAGAGAGAGAGAGCAGCAGTGGGGAGGGGCAGAGGGAGAGGGAGAAGCAGGCTCCCCGCTGAGCAGGGAACCTGACGTGGGGCTCCATCCCAGGACCCTGGGATCATGACTTGAGCTGAAGGCAGATGCTTAACTGACTGAGCCACCCAGGTGCCCCAGGAAATAAATACTTGTAAGGCCTCTGCTACATCCTGTCAAGCTGCTTTATAGAAAGAAAGTACCAATTCATAATTCTACTGGTATGCTAGATAATAGAAGGCCTAAAAATATCACTTAAATTTTTTTTGTAAAATATTTACAAATTTACTGAAAGAATTTTATTATTTTAGTGCTCTTAAAGTTCCTTTCTAGCTCAAAACTTCTGTGAGTCAAAGCATCATCTTCTAGCATAAAGAACACAATCTCTACATATCTCTATGTACTTTCTTAACAATTATAGTAGTAAAGAATGAATGAAGTTTTCAAAAAAATACTGAAGTTATACTAGCAAAACCTCAGCACTATTTCCATGTTTATTCAAAAAGAGATAAATATGGGGCACCTGGGTCTCTCAGTCAGTTAAGTGTCAGACTCCTGATTTCAGCTCAGGTCATGATCTTGGGGTTGTGGGATCGAGCCCTGTGTTGGGCTCCACACTCAGCACAGAGTCTGCTTGTCCCTCTCCCTCTGCTCCTCTCCCCTGACCCTGCTCGCGCAAGCACTCTGTCTTTCTCTGTCTTTCTCTTCCCCTAGTTCTAAAATAAATAAATAAATAAATAAATAAATAAATATCTTTCAAAAACAAAACACCAACAAAAAAAGAATAAAAGGAGATAATCATCTACTTTCATTAAAGATCCACAGAATGCACAAAACACTTATGTAAATGTTAGGTTGGAACCACATGAAATTGCCATGTTTATAAGTCAAACACAGTCAGATATCAGCTTCTTTGGTTCAACCTCATCTAATATCCACTTCACCTTAAGCCTGATAATTTGCAGTTATTAGCCAATTGATGACTACAAGCACTTGGCCTACTGATTGTTAATTTAGGGGCTATGATCTACTCAGACAACAAGGAAAGAGTCTCTGCCAACCACTACCATTCAGAATACTCACCACCCATGTAGCCTCTGT